TAGGGACCTCTCCCCTTCTTTGGGGGCGTTATATAGTATTTATAGGGCTGTTCCCTATTCAGTGGGATCTTGGCCGAGATTCTTGCCCTTATTTCGTGGGGTTCTTCTTATTTCTAGGAGAAGATCTTGGTTGGTTGAGATTAGGTGTCTTGATTATAGCTTCCTAACGCTTCAAGAATCTCTTGTGGTTTTCCAGCCGTTGTCTTGCCTCAAATGACATTCAACCCTTTGCCTTCTGACCTCAGTTAGTATAACTGACCTCCCGATCTGAGCTGAACTCCTGAGCTAAAACTTGGGATTTTACTTTAGGCATCATCAGTTGCCCCTCCAGCCCTTGGTCCAAGTGAGCTTGGGCATGAGCTGAGCTGCTTTCGTATTGGATCAGGTCAGCCCCTAGCTGACCTTAGTCCGCATGTGAGATGCACATGGGGGGGCTCTTTGACGGTTACAACAATCATGATTTTCTCGATTCCCGTGCATGTTTCAACCCACATCACTCAAGCTTTAAATGCTTAGTCGACTGCTCAAAAATCGCTCAAAAAAAAACTTCATGTTCATCTTCTACGTTGTTTACCTTTGTCTCCGGCGATTTCTCTGCGATTTCTGGGCTTTCCTCCACGCGATTCTCTTATTATCTGCTCAAAACTGTGTTTTCTTGATTCGACTCGAAGTCCTGCTGTGCTCTTATCTTCCAATTTTGTTTCTTGGCTGTTGTTTGTTGCTCTCTTCCCCGTCTAGGTATGCTTCCCTCTGCCCCTTTCTCTTTCTCTTGCTTTTCCTTACTCTGGATCCCTCAACTTCAAGGTGGTCATTATTTTTCTGGGTTTTTCGGTTCTTTTTCTTTTGGAATCGCGATCGTTGCCTATCTCCTCTTCCCCGCTTTGTGGATTGGAATTCTACTGTGTGAATTTTTACTGTTGGGAGGTACAATGCTGACCTTAGGATTATTAGGGGGTGTTTAGTTAGTATTCCTCATTTTTATAACTCTTTCAATCTGCCTTTCTCTCTACCAATCATGTCTACCTCCTCTGGAGCAACTCCTTCCTCTGTTTCCCTCTTAGGAGATAGGTCTGTCGAAAGAAATTCTGATTTAGGAGATGTAGGTTACGAGATTGACAACTTTCTTGGGGTGGATTCTGCTGAGGTAGAGGTGAAAACCGAGGAGGCTCCCTCCACCTCTTCTCCCATACCTGATAGACCTGATAAAGGCAAGGGTAAAGTAAGTGGTGTGGGAGTCATTGGTTCAGGCGCAAGGGCTGCCTTTAGGAACGCTGAACTTATAGGTCCCAACGGACTTACCCCTGCTAACCTGAAGGTTCTGAGTGCTCGCTTTTATTTTCCCCCAGGGGTTCAGCCCTGGAGTCCTGATAAGTACATCATATATGTTCATCATGTCCATAAGAAGGTCTATTTCTTCTTGGCAGCTTTTGATAACGGTCTTCGCTTCCCCATTCATCCTTTTATCAAAGGTGTCCTTCAACACTTCAATGTCTGTCCTGCCCAGCTCTCCCCTTACTTCTGGGGTGTTCTTGTAGGTTCACTAGTCTTCTTTAAGAGCCATAAGCTTGGGGTCCCTTATGTTTCCTTGCTTATGGAGCTGTTCAATGTTAAGCAGACCTCTTCTGACAATTTTCTGTATATTTCCAAGAGGGCTAAGGCAAAACAAGTTATCTCTGACCTCCCCAGCTCCCATAAGGGCTAGAAGAAATAATTTTTCCTTGTAGGTGGTACACAATGGGAGTTCAATTTAGAAGATAAAACTGACACCCTCCCCATCCCTACAGAGTGGTCTGCCCCTGGCAATTTGGGTATGTTTCTGTCCAGACCATATTTAACCCAAACCTAGCTACGTTGCTAACTTATTTCTTGTCTTCTTTAATTTTTTAGGTGTCCGGTCTAAGCTCAGCACTGAAGAAGAGTGGGTATTATGGAAGTTGAAAAAGTGCAAACCAGAGAAATATTCTGAGCTCATCCAACCTTGGGCTCTCGTAAAACACGAGTTCTGCCTTCCTGAAGTGAGGGTTGAAGCTCCCCTTCCACTTTTCGTTGTTGCCGCCATCCCGCTTTTCGCCGAAGATTTATCAGGTAACACTTTTTCTATGTACCCCCTCTCCTCTTTTCTCTATCTAAGGGTGAGGCTTAGCTGTTCTTAGGTGCTACAGGTTCATCCTTAATGGAGCCCACTATCGCTGAACTCAGGGCTAAACTTTCCCAAATGAAGGATGTCAAAGACAGCAGCAAGAGCAGCGCCAAACGCAAGTTAGGATCCGGCTCTATCGGTGGCTCCACTCCTCCTGCCAAGGTGCCAAGGACAGGCATGTCACTCACTCCTTCTACTCCAGTTATCCCAGACTTCTCTTCCCAAGGCGCTTTTCCTGCTACTCCAATCGTTGCTGGGTAAGGACAGGCATCCCCCTTTACTTCTGAGGTCGAGAGAGCTATGGAGACGACTTCCCGGATCTTTGCCTCTCTTAATCCGCCTGCTGCTCCAATCAATCCTCCCCTTCTTGAGGGTTCAAAGGCTGTGAAGGAGGAGTTTCTCAAAGTAGGCAAAAATGAGGGCTCCTTTCTTGATAACCCTGACCTTGCTGCAGCGGCCTTCTTCTTTATTCTTCCCAATGTTGATATAAAAAAGGTCTTTTCACTATCTCTTGAGGACTCAATAAGCTTTGTTCTTCACGGATTAACAGCGATAAGTTCTTGCTAACATTTATGACCTTTTCTTTCTTTTTGTATTTAAGAGCTCTTCGTTTTGTTTTATCAGACATTCATTGATAAGACGAAGGGTCTCCATCTCATTATTCATGGGAAAGCTCCCCATGGGGGGATCTACTTCTTGCGCATTTTCGGGCTGTCTGCTATTTGCGACTTCCTGTTGATCTTGCATCTGTAGAGGATTGGTCTGACTTCGGCTCATGTTTCGCGTTGATACCATCAGTCACTGAAAAATCAGCTTTATTTGTAACAGGAACAGTCGTTCCCACAGACGGCGCCAAACTGATGGTGTAAACCGAATCGTATGAATGATGAATCGTAATTATGCTTTGCAGTAATTGTGGTGTGATAAATACTTCTCTAGGGGCTAGGAGGATTAACACAGAAGAAGTATAGTGGTTCACCAGCTCGAAAGCTTGGCTAGTCCACTCGCTAATGGAGACTCTTGGTCCTTACCTTTCAATAAGCAATACAAGAATACAATGGCTAGTCTTTGCCTCTAGGGACCTCTCCCCCTTCTTTAGGGGCGTTACATAGTATTTATAGGGATGTTCCTTATTCAGTGGGATCTTGACCGAGATTTTTGTCCTTATTTCATGGGGTTCTCTTTATTTCTAGGAGAAGATCTTGGTTGGTTGAGATTAGGTACCTTGATTATATCTTGCTAACGCTTCAGGAATCTCTTGTGGTTATCCAGCCATTGCCTTACCTCAAATGACATTCAACTCTTTGCCTTCTGACCTCAGTTAGTATAACTGACCTCCCGGTCTGAGCTGAACTCCTGAGCGAAAACTTGTGATTTTACTTTAGGCATCATCAATTTAGAAAATGAGTCGAACACAAATCAAGTCCGTATTACTCAACTATTTTATATATATATGAATTGAATTTTGTGAGCTCGAACAGAACTTTTTTAGCTCTTTTTTTTAAACGATCTTAAAATATTCTAAAACAAATGTTCAAACTCAGTTCGTTTAAAATACGAGTTAAGTCCGAGTAGTTCGTCTCGATTAACACCCTATCAATAATGATACCTCCTCCATAGTCATAGTCCATATTTACCACCCATGGTTCTTAATACGATTCATCAATTAATAAACAAATTAATAAAAAAATAATAGGCATTAGCATAGTCTTAATGAGTTCCAATTTTAAACAAATTTTCCACTTGGCCCATTTCATAAATAAGTTAATATGAATTTAACAATACATTGATTTATACATGATGTGAATAAGATTATACATGGATTGAATTTACAGTGAGTAATTTTTTATTTTTTATTTTTAGTTCAATGGTCAAAAGTGTTCGAACTAACTTACGTACATCTCGATTAATTTTTTTTCTGATCCAAACAAAGGCAGACTATCAACGGCGAGATTAGAATATTTATAAAGGATGAATCTCTTATGACTTGATTACAAGAGGTTGTTAAGATTCGAACTTATAACGTCTGAATTTACAATTCGTCTCTATTATCATTTGAGTATTTTTTAAAATCATAAAATAAAAAAAAATAAAATACAACACGGTGTATTGGTAAAGTTATCCCTAATTTATACTCTTCCTTTAGTGTGAAAGTGGCCCTTGTCAAACCCAAGTCGAGCTAAGTCAAATCAGAACATATAAACGAATCAAATTTTGTGAGTTTAAGTTGAACTTTTTTAGGCTCATTTTTCTAAATGAGCTTACAAAATTGTTCAACTTAAAACACAAATTGAGCTTGAATCGAATTTTATCTAAATTAAATCCAAGTAACTCGTCTCGATTAACGCCTCTATTCATAAAAAATAAATTCTTTATGACCTGACTCTAAAAAATTGTTAAAATTCCTATCAATCGCTAAGGACTCGCAATCCCAACCTGCTCTACTCCCACTTTGAGTCCTCTTTTACTCGCTGCTTTGAGTCCTGCCATACTAAACAATTATTAGACAATCAATTCTTCCCTGCTTTGAATCTAAAGCTAATACTCTGATAGGACTGATAAAAATTTTCAATTTATTACTTACAGCTCATTTATATTATCACTTAAATAATTTTTAATATCACAAAATTAAAATAATTAATAAATAAAATATGACACGACCTATTGGTAAAGTTATCCTAATTTATACCCATCCTTAAGGGCTTTAGTGTGAAGGTGACCCAACTTTCATCTCAATTTCAATTTCAATTTCAATTCCAATGTGAGTTGATGGGGAGAATTTGCCACGTATGTGGGAAGATTGCCGAATTAAATTGATTCGGATATAAATAGGGACCAATGACACCTATCCTCTCATTCCCTCTCTTTCGCCTCGTCCTCTCTTCCAAATGCAGAAACTTGGCTGATTTGCTCAACCCATACCCAACCCAACCACACAACACAATCTCTCTCTCTCTCTCTCCCTTAAAACAAAGCCTCCCAATTGAAGCAAAAACAGTAAGAGATATCTGAGTTCCCTCTTATGGAAACCAAAAACCAACTCCAATCTCCACCAACCAAATCAAGATTCAACCGTATTTGTGTTTTCTGCGGTAGCAGCCCCGGCAAGAACCCAAGCTACCAACTTGCAGCTATTCAACTTGGAAACCAACTGGTACCTCTCTCTCTCTCTCTCTCTCTCTCTCTCTCTCTCTCTGCATGCAATACAAAGTTACATGGATAGGTACATGGGTAGGGAGATAGAACAGAGACAGAGAGTTCTATGTCAAAGCTTTTTCTCCCTATCTTTTTCATGCTACAACTCTACGTTTTCAATGACTTGGGTGCTTCATCATAAGGTGTTAATACCGTTCCAAAGATTGTTGATTAATTTATGTCCAATAAATTCAAGTTCTTTTCGTCTTTCAATTGATTGAAACTAAACATGGGCAAGGTTTTCAAGCTTATCAAACATGAGAGAGATTGATACCATTAAATGTTGTACCATTCACATTTTACTAAACTACTATTTCCTGGAATAATGGTTGATTACGGCAACTTGGCAAAAGTCATTTTAGGAGAGATAAAAACACCTCTATCAAAGGAGTAAAACGGGTATCAAAGGACTCTCTGTTTTTAGTGTTGTCAATTTCATGACTTTTCTTCTGGATGGGGATGTCCCATCGGATTAATCGCCATCACTGGATTAGAATATAGAGACACAATTAAGAAAGAAAACCAAGTGTTTGTTTAATGATCGGTAAGAATATCGTGAAGTGTTTTAAAAAGGGTTTACGTTGAATCATAATTGCGTTTCAATGTGGTAATGTATATAAAAATTTGCAGGTTGAAAGGAACATCGACTTGGTTTATGGTGGTGGTAGTATTGGCCTTATGGGTCTTGTCTCCCAAGCTGTCTATGATGGTGGCCGCCACGTGTTAGGGTACCCATTTCTGCCCAACCTCTCTCTCTCTCTCTCTCATGTATATTCATACATAATAATATATACAAAATTTGGAGATAGATATCAAGATTTCACTTATAATTTCTTGTTTTTATTGCAGAGTGATTCCAAAAACACTTATGCCCAGAGAGGTGATTACTCTTCATTTATTTTCTCAGTCGGTGAATGACATGTTTGAACCCAAGTAGCTTTAAGTGGTAACAAATTTATATCTCGTGAATTTCTTAATCTCGACGTAGATGTGTTTAACTAGATTCGGGAGAAGATTAGTTGAAGTACGTATAAGTGAGTCCAAATACCTGTGACCGTTAAACCAAAAAAATATATATATAATATGTTTGGTAAGAGTTCGAAATAATGTAAACTTGTGGATCTATTTTTTTGGATAAGTTTTTGGATTTATTAGATTGGGTTGGAAATAAAATAAGTTGTACTCTTGCATATTCTCTTTCTTGGGTTTTGTCAAAATAGTCAAAGCTCAGAAGATGACTGAGCTTGGGTTCTTTGTTCTTTATTCTTGTTCTTGTTTATAAAAATAAGATTAGTTTAAGAGCAAAAACCAATTAAATTGTTCTATATTTTTATTTTCAGATAACTGGAGAGCCTGTTGGAGAAGTAAGAGCTGTCTCTGGTATGCACCAAAGAAAAGCTGAAATGGCTCGCCACGCTGATGCATTTATAGCCTTGCCTGGTATTAATTCTCAATGGATCGATCGACCATTAAATTTGAAAATGGAAAAAGGATAAAGGGCAATTTGATTATTGATGGTAATGTACTTAATTTCATGTGCAGGTGGCTATGGGACACTAGAAGAACTCCTGGAAGTCATCACTTGGGCGCAATTGGGAATTCATGACAAACCGGTAATCTATTTAAACCGTAACTTGATCTTATTTGGTTGTAACTTGGGGTACGATACTCTTCCGCCCCAAGGCCGAACACAGTGGAATCAATTTGTGTACAGTAACTTGTCTTGATCAAAACAGCACCCATCAAGAAACTTAGACATATACTAGTCTTAATTTTCCAGGCACAAACTTAAGTATTTCTGTAAGAGTATTTCTAATTTCTTATGATAAATACAGGTGGGTTTGTTGAATGTAGATGGGTACTACAACTCACTGTTGTCTTTCATAGACAAAGCTGTTGATGAAGGCTTTGTTACACCCTCTGCGCGTCACATTATCGTTTCTGCCCCAACTGCTCAAGAACTCATGTCCAAGCTTGAGGTACATTTCATATACATACACCTATATCCACTGTACAATTCAATTGTATATGTAACTAGATCATCTAACCAACCATTTTTGTTAATCCTAATGTAGGAATATGCTCCTAGGCACTCAGTTGTTGCATCCAACCTGAGTTGGGAAATGGAGCAACAATCGGGTTATACGACAAAGTCAAACATTCCTTGTTGACCCCTCAGTTATATACCTCGTTTCAGAGCATTAACAACTGTAGATTATAGCCAATTTATTGACGACAGCTGTAACCATGTAGATTCAACCTCCAGAAATCAAACCACCACAGTTCTTCTAGTGGTCTGTGGATTTTTGTAACTAATTTTGAGTCGGTGTTGATTGTTCATGTAATCATGTGAATGTAATTTCCTCCCAAAACCATTAGAAAACAAGTATCTCTACTGACTTTAGATTGTTTCTTTAGGTTTTTTATGTAGCCTTCTTTTTACTCTTTGTATCAGCATTACTTGACTGCATGTTCAAATTTTGATTGACTTACATGAATCAATGTTTCTCAAGCAATGCCCTTTTCAATATAAACTATTAAAACTGATACCCACCTCTCTCTCTCTCTCTCTCTCTCTCTCTCTCATATTAACAAATCTATCTCAGCTATTTAAGCTTGATTATATTAGTGATCTTACGTATCCCTTTTGTTCAATTGAAGGATATGTAGTAATTTATTGGCTAAATTGTATTACGATGGACGGTGAATACCAAAATAAGTGTTAATTAGTTCAAAAAAAAAGAAAGAATGAAGGATGACTAGCTGAACAGTTGGATCCTGAAATAGTCGACAGCTCTTACTTTATAAAACTTCAGCATTCTGTCCTTGATCAGAACATGGATGAAGTCACATAGGCCATCATTGGGGCTAATTTTTACAAGTCTTATTGTCTTATCCTCTTCCCCATACACTTAATATTTATAAATATGTTCATTTCTCTAAAAGAATAAAATAAAATATGTCTAATTGTATAGGGACAGGCTAACTTTTTTGACTACAGCATTTATCAACTAAGATGGCCATGGATAAAGCTTAAGGCAGGTCTAGTTCTTTTATTCTATAATGACACACAAGAACACCTGTCATTAACCAGACCACAAGGGAACCTTAAGACAAGTGCCGCGTGTGGAAAGAGAAGTGAGAAAGTCGTAGTGGTGCAGAGTGGAGTGGCCCTTCCCTCTGCATATGCATGCATGAGAATGTTATAGATACAAAAGTGCACTAGTTAGTGCGCATGTAGGTGTGAACAATTTCTGCTAAAAAGATTAAAAACCAACCTAAAAGTACAACTCTTTCTTAAGTTCCCTCTTGTGTGCTTGAACTTGGTGGTGTTTGACTCACCTCCTTGATGTATTCTTTCCAACTCTGGGGTAGCATAATCTTGGTTTTGTCTTGAGGGAGTAGGGTCCACTGCGGTTTTGTTTTTTTTTTTTAAATTTATTGATATAGTATTCAATGAGTTGCAATAAAATTATATGAGTTTTGTTTGATTTTGTTAGCATTTAAATCCAACAAATTTTTAATTCATAGGTATCTACATCTAGTTGATTTGATTAAGGGTGAAAGAGGTCTTAGTGGTTTGGTATCTTGTTCATGGAATACACAAAGTTAACACAAACATAAAATAGAACTAACTTGAATATGATATGACTCGATTATGTTGACACCCATCCTTCTCACCTGCACTAGAATGATAAAACTTAAGCAAATCTTCATCACATGGAAATATGACCATTTTCTTCAATCTCAGCTGCAGTTCCTTTTGTTTAGCATCATGCTGGCAACTTAAGTATCTCGAGGATTACTTTCAGGAAAAAAAAAAAAAAGAAAAAAAATAATCTTAAGGATAGGGAGTATCATTGAGAAGTAATTGCAAGGATGCATTGGCATATTACTGCTACAACAAATTATAATTGTGGCTTAAATTTGAACAGATAATCATATACAGAACGGTAGTACAACAGAGTGATTCATCTCTATAAATCAAACTATTTAGACAAGAAATATTGAACAGATATAAAACCGTGCACATAGCTACGTATCTTACAAATAACAACCAATCACGTACCATGGCCGAGGCTGCTTATGTGAAAGATTGAACCACTGATGAGGTGGTGACCAAACTGGAAAGAAGGCCAACGATGAACGCACTGTTATAGGTGGTTGGTTCACCTTGCATTGAATTGTTCCGGGAATCAATATAGGTTTCATTTAGAAATGGTCCGCCCACAAGTGCTCCAACCGCAACATTAGGATTGGGTTCTGTTGAGTCCATCCACTGGAAACCATCTTTGCACCCGGTTGTTGCATCGGCTGGAATCGAAGCTCCTCTGTGGTGCACATATTGTGGGTAATTATCCCCATATCCCACAAGATAACTCATCTTCTGAGGGTTGTTGCCCAAGACATAATCAGCCTAAAAAGAAGGCAAAAAACAAAAGTAGGAACGATTAAACATAATTGAAGGGGCAATTTGATAAAATGGTAGTGAAAAGGATAAAGTGAAACTAGTGCAAAAGTTTAAAGGGATGAAGTATATAAACCAAAAAGAAGTAGTTGTTTGATGCATCCTTAATTATAACCAGAGCAGCTGTGTGATCTGCCCTTCTGAGGAAGATGGATGTACCTGTGAGATGGCAAACTTTCGGAGATCTGATGGCCGATATGAATCCCCATCACAGGATAGTTTGGCAGTCCGCGATGTAAGCATGTAATCACTATAAAGCACAGCTAAAAATGAAGAAGCAACAGGATGCTGCAAAGCGTTCCATTCACTGACCCATATCAAACCACCTGTGTAAACAGAATGAAGGTGACCAATGGAAATAAAAAGTTTCAAACTCATGATTTGCTTTGTTACCTAACGATAATTGGTGTTAAGACATTTGCAAGGCCTCCTAGAATGGTGAGTGTATTCAGTAAACTAATTAAATCCGCCAACTGATATTAAGCAATCAAGATTCAAATCTAGGCATGTTTGATTCTTTCAATATAATTGGTATCTCGACCCTCATACCTCTAGCTAAGTTAAAGTTCCGCTGTATCAAATAATTTTGCCAAGTCAAGTAATGATGTACAGTTTAAGGGGTCTGTAATTATGATTCGATGGTTCATTTGTATGTTATTAGACTTATTTGGGAGCATATCTGATACTCAGTTTGATTGAGTCAACCAATGACACCGCCAACTCCTTTAAAAAATTTCGAAGACCTCTTATTGTACTGTAGAGTTAACTTTGTTTTTATTGTCATTAACTGCATTAATTGCATGATAAAAATAGACAAAAAGTTCGAATGATCCAGCATACAATTGAACGATCTATCGTAGGACCACAGAAAGACCCTCAAATTTGTGCACTTTCATTCATAAAGTTGGAACTTTAAAGGGATAAATATGTACAAGGTCTAACTGGGTCTCGGTGACAGCAAAGGCAGTAGCATCACAAGGCCTGAGCCCCTTCATTACACCCATTTTTCTAAGCACTCTCCAGTAACAAGCCATAACATGAGTTTCCTAGTAGTATCCATGTTCCTATGTATGTCTAAGTGTGTGCACGAGCAAAGAGAAAATATGCCATGGGAAATTACAGCATTATAAACCGACAAGGAAAATAGGAAGGGAGGAACAGAACCAAATAGAATATTAAGGCATAAGCGTCCAAGTTTAAAAGTGTCCGAATGGAATGATTACTGTCTGTTCTGCTTGATGTTGCAGTCGGGGATGTTGGTAGAAGGCCACACATTACAGCCTCGGCAGTTTTCCTGTAATGCTGGAGACTCTCAGAGTTTGAGGTGTCCTTTGAACCAAAAAAGCTTACTCTGGACAACAAAACCTGTTCCAAAAAAAGAATTGAAATCATGTAGTAATATGAGTAATGCTAAAACCCAAATTACTAGAAAATTATACCTGAGTTCCGGCTAGCTTGTTATCCCAACTAAACCAAGTTGGACTTCCCCACTTAGCAAAAGCTTTTCCATTTTGCCCAGTCACATAATCAAAATATGATTGAACCCCGGTTGCATGATAAAGCCAGCTAGCAGCCCACAAGAGCTCATCTCCATAACCTGTTGAATTGTAATAATTCTGAACGTCGGGAATGCTGACACTGTAAGATTCTCTTTGTTTGTCGGCAAAAGTAAACAATTGTTTAGCATGCTTAAGAAGCAAGCTCGAATATGCAGAGTCGGTCGATTTAAACACCAGGGATGCAGAAGCCATAGCAGCCGCAGTTTCAGCAGCAACCTCAGTTCCTGGGGTAGTAGTGTTCACCTGCGTGAGAGGCCTTCCCTCAGTCATATCTTCAGGCCTTTCCCAACAACTATGGTCTTTTTCAGGATCACCCACCTGCCCAGAAATTGAAGTTGTGAATGGAGACCCAATTTAGGGGCCTTTCTGTCACCGTCAATTGACACAATGTTTAATTCCTTGACTCACTAATGTAATAATATGTGTCAAATATGGAAGTATGCATAATTGTATGTTGGTTTTGAAGTTCTAGAAAAGTAGGCAAAGTAGAAAGGGCATGGTCAAGTAAAATAAATACAAATAGCTTAATTGTATGAGTAAGGCAGGGTATCGTTGTAATACACAACTTAAAAACCTGGCTCCCGGCAACACAACCAAAATAATAATGGACTAGTGTGAATTTCTAGATGATGGCAATCTTTCCAAATTGAAATATAATGGGTGACAACGAAAGGATAAACACTCGGAAAAACACAGGCACACAATCATAGTACTAACACAGAGACAGGAAATAATCTGGTATTGAAGATTAGAGTAACCTGAATATAGAGCACATTCTCCGAAGGATGAGCATTGATAAGGTAGTCAGTAATCCACTTGAGCGAACCTTGAGCAGTATCCAATTGATTCACCTTCTCCATTTGATCCCCATACTCAAGAATGGCCCATGACAGCACTGTAGCAGTAAAAGCCATCGGAAACCCAAACTTAATATGATCTCCAGCATCATACATTCCTTTTGAGAGATCCAACTTTGCTTCGCGCCCATCTTTAAGAGCCGAATCCCCTCTCCAAGATATCTTGTTATTCACCAACTTACCAGCTGCAACAGGAAAAAAGCATTATTACCCAAAATCAAAAGATCATTTTTTAAAGCTTTAGAATGGAATTAAACTATATTTGTTGTTGACATTTCATAATTACAATGACAATCTTTTAATCAACCTCGCATCTATCATGAAAACTAATGAAAACAGAAATTAACTAAACAAGCACAGAAATACAGGCACGTATGGTTCAGAATTAGATATGAGCACTCAATTAAAGATGTATTAAGCAACAAAAATGATCAAATCTTCTATTAATTCCAATTAATGGGATGAAGTTCAGTGAAATTAAACCAAAAATGCTAATCAAGTTCAAGAAAATTAACAAAACAGTAAATAAAAAATTATTCATATTATCACAAAATAGGTAAGGCCTAGTAACAATAATCTCATGAATTTCGCTTATGCAAAACCCAAAAAAAAAAAAAAAAAA